GGGTGAGAGATGGTGGAGAGAGAGATAAAAACAAATGATAGAGAGAGAAAGACAGTGAGAGACAGAAAGAGAGAGAGACGCACACGCACGGAAAGAGGGAGACAGAGAGCGGAAGGGAGAGACAGAAAAGAAGATGGACAGAGAATGGGAGAAAAAGAGGGAGAGAGAATGAGAGACACTGAGACGGGGGAAGAGAAAAAGAGAAAAGAGAGAGAGAGAGAGAATAAGAGAGACAGAGAGAGTCCTTGTACAACCTCAGGACTCAGGAAGGATGACAACACACGTGTGAATCAACAAGTCCATGCTATATTTGTGAACTAATGGGACTTATTTTTTTTTTTTTTAACACAGCCTATCTATGTATAGTCTGTATTGTATTTATGCATATTAGCACTTGAGCAAAACGCAAACCATAATCCTTTTCAACACAGCAACAATGAAACAATGAAAGATTTGAAGTCAGATGCCCTTCCAGTCACTGCCAATACAGGTCTATTCCACCACTTGTTTATTGTTACACTTAAAATCCAGACCAAAATAGAAACCACTGCTGTATCAGGAAGCACAGATTCAAAAATTTTGACAAATTTGCAATACGTGTAAGTAAAAAGGACCTTGTGACACACACTATGAGATTACAACGGTATAACACTGAGAAGAGAGCTAAGTTCACAGCAATGGGAAATCACTTTTGTCTGAGTGACTGGCCATGCCTCCATCTATCACTAATGTAATAGCAAATACAGATGTGCAGCAACCAACAAACAGCCAACTACTAGGCCTGTCACCATCACACGTTTTCAAGCACAATATACAGAGAAAGAGAAATATTGTGATAAACGATAATACTGAAACTACTCTATGCCGCTGACACAAAGCAGGATAATCCCAGTAAACCAATTTTTAAATAAATAAAATTCATTACCAGGCCTGAGCTAGAGAACAGAATGAACCAATGTATTCTATCCTCTGCAGCTCAAATCTTACCTTATTACATAGAAATGGTAAAAATCTCCCCATTATTGCAAAGAAATGTAATAGTTTGGTGCTTTGATTGTTGATTCAGTAAAAATCTGCACTGTTTCTCAGTCCTTCATGTAGAATTTTCTCATTTTTATGTACAAGTAGAAGGGGTGTAATGATATGCAAATCTCTCGATACGATATTATGACGATATCCATCTCACGATATGATATTTATTGTGATATTTCAGCGAGGCTAATATAATTGTAGATAGTAAACTTTTTTGCTTTTAAAATATCTTGACAAGATTTTGGTGTGAATTATTTCTGTCATAATTCCAAGAATGCAAGTCAAAAAGATATTTCTTCATGTTGTCTGCAGTGAAATGAATCATGGGATATGTAGTGCCCTATGTTTATAAGCTACTATAAAACAATGCATTTAAGCTTGTAACTCGAAATATTGTGACAGTCCACGATATTATTGTGAGACTTTTGACGATACGATATCACAATATTTCTGTTATGGTTACCATGCATTCGATTATCTTCCGGCTCCCACCTGGACCTCGGATTTGACGTCATGTCCACGCTTGAAGCATATTATTATGTTTTCACTTATTATGTTTTGGACTTGGAGAGTGGTATGTAGCCTCACCACAACACCAACTACCACACCCATAGGCAGTGATACGGATGCAGTAAGGCATTGCAGTAATACAAGTGACTGAAATTGTCATTTAAACCATCAAAGTGTCCAGACACAATGGAAACTGTTCATATTTACACGTCACAGTGGGCAGAGCCATCTTGGCTTCTGACTCGGGATCCTTGCTCAGTCTACTTTTTCTGCCACAGAGTTCCGAGTCGTGCCGTCCCAGGAAAAGGGGCGTGTTGCGAGTGTCACTAGGCAACTTCTTTGGAAAACCGACTCGGAAGGAAAATCTAATGCAGGGTTATGTTCCTAACAAGTAGCCATGTTTGTTTTTAACCCAAACAGAGCATGTGTCTCTCTGATTGGTTAATCCACCTGTCAGTCACACCCTCTGAAATCAAGGAGACGAGATGAAACTCCTGATCCACTTGTCTTTGTAAAGTTTTGTCAAAGTATGTAGTTCCGGCTGGTTAGGCAAAAAAAAAATATTTATGTTCCAGCTTTCATATATTGAACGATAAATCAATATAACTATAAAAATAGAATTATGAAATGTGGCTAAATTTTAACATACCAAATTAAATGAAAGTAGAAGACATGACAGCAGTTAAGAGCAGACAACTCGCAATGCTTTACAAATTTGTTGATTGAAAGCTGCTGTACTTGATTTGAGCAATCCTTTTTTTTTTTTAGCTTTCTAATTATCATGACAGACCTACTAACTGACAATAAAATCAAAGAATATATGAAATGTTAGCTCAGAAGGTGTCAACAAGGTCAACTGTCAAATCGGAAATAATAAATAATGAGTGATCTAGCAGGGCTGTTATGGTCACCCCATTAAACTGTCTGATTAATAAAAAACACCACACACTGTTTCCTATTCTCTTCAATTCATCCGGAGCTGTTGGAATGGCCTTCCAAAAGTCAGCATGTCCAGACAGACACACAACCTGTTCTCCTTTCTCTCCCCCTCTCTTCCTGTCGCTGTCTCATCCAACTCTCTCTATCTACTCTTCTATCTGTCTTCTCTTTCCTCCTGTCCTCCTCTTTCTCTCTCATTCTTTCCTCCTCCTCAGATCTTGTCACTCTCTCTCACTCTCTCTTCCTCCTGTATCTCTTCCTTTCTCCCTCAATCCTCCACCTCTTCACCCCTTTCCTCCTATAGCTCTCTCCTCTGCCTCTTCCGATAACTTTCTCCAGTTCCTCCTCTCCTCTCTCTCTCCGTCTATTGTCCTTCACCTCTTCAACTCCCTCCTCTCTCTCTCCCACTCTTTCTCTCTTTCCCATTCTTTCCTACTCCGATGTCTCTCCTCTGTCTTCCTGTCTTCACTCCACGCTCTCCCCCACTCTCTATTTCCCCCCTCCTTTTTTCCTCCCCTCTATCTCCTCATCTCCATCTCTCATCTTGTCCCACTCTCTCCTCCCCCCTCTCTTTCTTTCTCCCTCTTTCCTTCTTTCCTCAAACTCATTCTGATCTCATCCCCCTCTCTCCTCCAGTCTCTATCTCTTCTCTCTATCTGTCTCTTCCTCTCATCTTTCATCCCCCTGTCCAGACCGGGGAGCAGGCAGTTTGATGCTGTGTCTTTTATGAGTCATCCCTGTCATGGCTCGCTGCCTATAACACAGAAATAATGGCCATGAAATAAGAGCAATGAAAAATCAATGCACGGTAATACAGAGTGTCAACCAAACCGAGGACAGCGGAGGGGACACTTCCTTTAAGTTTAACAAGACACAAATGTGAAAAGTTAAAGATTGGAAATTGTACGACAACTTGGTTATAACAGGAACACTTTGTTTCGCAGTGGCTTAACGCTTTATAACTATTACAATGTTTTTCTATGTCTATTTACAATTTATCTACACGTTTTTAACTATAAACTAAGTTGTGGTGACTATTCAACTAAAAGTAACTCTTCTAATTTAGTCTAATCTAAGTTTTAAACATAGACCGTATAGAGAAGAGGACTAAGTGAGTGTGACGTCACCCATAGCGTTCAGATCCAGTCAAATGAAGTGCACAGAGGCTAGCGGTCACGGGGTGATTTTGGGGCCAAGTTCCACATTAGGTTTACGAATCAGTTTACAAAATAGTCAAATAAAAACACCTGGATCATGTAGAGCGGGTTAATATGAACATGTGAGGACAAAAATGAGGAGCCTGACAGCAGCAATTACAGAGAGAAAGGAAACAGTTTTTCAATACAAAGTGATTTGGAACTAGAGTCGATGGAGCTGGAAGCATGCCTATGGTCACTTCCTATTTGTAACGCAGCAGCTAGCTGGCTTGCTATATCCATTTATATACAGTCTATGGTTTTAACTTATAGACCTACATGTATTGTCAAAGCTTCTTGGATTAAAGGCAAAACATACTCAGAAACTCTTTTTACTACTATGTCATGACAAGTTGCAGAGCATTTATAGCGGTTATATTTTCATGGAAAACAATGTGAAAAAAATAGAAAATCCTTTCTGGTGTTGGCTTACAAGACCATCTGCAGTAATTCTCATTTGAATCTGGCATTAATCTTAGAATGGGTGATATATCCAGGTTTGGGACTGGCACAATCAGGTACATTGGCTTGACCTCACTACGGCTGGATTTAAAACCAGTCTATGGTTTCAGAATGATGAGAAACTAGCATTGTTACCATAGCAAATGACTATTTTAAACTATCTTAAAATATCTTTATCTTTTGAATGGTGAAAGGAAGATTTATACGGGCTAAGTCAGGTCCTAACTTGAGATCATGATGTCAGAGTCGTTATCCCTCCATCCGTGTTTCCCGCACACTGACACGGGCCAGAGGCTCTTCCTGTGGGTCAGTATGGGTCATCTCTGACGACTTTACAGGCTCGTAACGTGGCCGTGGATCTGTGTGAGCGCGCCTCGGCTATTCTGGGAGAATACCAAAGGGGAGACCCAGTGACTGCCTGCTTGACCCCCACCCCACAGGATCTGACAAGAAATCACCACCAACCACACCGCTAGACAACAGCCGAGCGCTTTATAACACACGCTTTTGTAGACTATGAAAGCTGTAGGCTACCTTTCCAAGACTAACGTGCAATCCAAAACCACTGGTAGACTGTGAACCAACAGACAGAGCTAGTTTGCATTGAACAGGTTGATTCCTCACTTCTCCGCTAGTATTTGCATGTCTCACCCTCTCAAACTTCCATGGACACGAGAGGATCCCCCCAATGTTTAGTGTCGCGTGTGTACGTGCACCCTGACGCACGCGTAAACACAAACTAAAAAAACAACACGCCCTATTCTTACTTAATTTAAAACTGCATCGCTTTTTTCTTTCGGCCACGACAATGAATGCTTTCTTTTCCAGCAAAGTTTTACGAGACAACACAAGTGTCCTTACCTCTCCCGCTCCCGTTCGTGTCTCGTTTCTTTAGCCCCAAAACTGAAGTCACGACGAAGCCAAGACGAAGCGAAATCAACCAGCCGTTTTTTCCTCCGGTGCCCAGCGAGAACGGACCGCTCTCTCGCGCTCCCGACGTGCAGCGGCGGCGGCTATACTCCGGCTCCGTGTGTGTGCGTGGATGCGTAAGTGTGTGTGGGAATACTTGAGTGTGACAGCTCATGGAGAGACTGAGCAGAGCGCAGAGGAGAGACCGGGGGAACTTAGGGGGAGTTCCCGGCAGAGGCTCGGCGGGGCGGGGTGTAGCGGTAGACTGACAGCCACGACGCGGTTCTGGACTGAGAGTATTCAGTCTGCGGCCACAAGACAGGTACATATAAAAGCTACAAGTGCTACAAGAAAAGAGACTGTGATTTTAACAGGCGCAACGTCAAGGTCACGTGGCATCGTTTATTGGCGTCTGTCTGCGTTCAACAACATTTAAAGGTGCACTATGTAACTTTTCTAGGGGACGGTACGCCACCTGCTTGTCTCCATTGAGGTATATTGCTTTCAAAAGAATGTTCCACAGTTTGACATTAAGCTTATCTATCTCCATGGAGATAGATATTCTTGTTCAAAAAAGAATAGAAAGAAATTTTTTTCATGGTCATTTGCAGCAACAAAAGCAGTTACAGGTGTATAAATGCAAGATATAATAATAATAATATATATTTTTTTATTTATTTAGTGCTTTTCTAAACACTCAAAGATGCTATACAAAGAATACAATTGAAAAGAGTACATAAAAACACAAATATATGCATGATTATAAAAGACATTAAAAAGATTTGTTTAAGGTTATACAACGAGACAGCAGGCAAAACCACAACATCCCATGGAGTCCAGTGTGGTGTACCCTTACCAGAAAAGTTACACAGTGCACCTTTAAGCCATTTCTCTGTCTATCTCAAATGGCAATAGGATAAGGTGACAAGATTTTCCAAATTCAAAACTGGGACACAGCCGGGTTGACTGGTATAAATGAAACTGCAAAAAACATGAGTAACATCGTCCATTCTCGACTCACTCGTGTCAGCCATAATCTGAGCAACAACTGTATGTGCATTTATTTATTTCTTTATTTTTTACCTTTGCCTTGTGCTTGTTTCCAAGCATGGCTTTCTGAAGGCCTATTTTAGCTAAACAAATGACAATATGTGCCTTTCTTTACTGTTGGCAGGTATAAGAATAGGCTAAAATAGGGACACCTGGGACATTTCTTGTATAAAACTGGGACAAATCACTGGTTTTGGATAAATCTGCTGGAACAAGGGACAGATGGCTCAAAACTGGGACTGTCCTGGGTAAATAAGGACCCTACAATAGGACCTAGTAATTGAGGACCTACTTTACATGTTCTGAACCCATGAAAAGACAAATGTGGTGGCCCAGTAGTCTATTAAATCTTCATAACGTTGAATGTGAATGTGAATGTGCAGGCTCATAATAAGTTTGGGGAGAGGAAAAAAGTCTAAATATGTTTAAAGGTGCACTGTGTAACTTTTGGTGAAGGGTCCGTCACCTGCTGGTCTCCATTGGGGATACTACTGTTTTGCCTTCGTTATTCCACAGTACTGAAAAAAACTTGGTCACAGTGGAGACAGGTTAATGGTCAGATCTATGGAGAAGCAAGCCTGCGCATGCCAAGAATATTCATGTTTTATAAGGTATTTCTGAGCTATAAGCTATAAGCGATAGCTGTAATTGAACAAATGCAAGAGAGCTATGTTTCCTGCCCTACTGTGGAACATTCTAGGCAAAGAAATAACATCTCCATAGAGACAAGCAAGTAGCAGACCCTCCACTTTAGAAGTTACATAGTGCACCTTTAAATCAATGAAGAATCAGGGCCATTTTCCGTGTGTTTTTGTCCTGGCCGAAGCCCATATCAAAATAATGTAATCGGGAATCAATGAAGCTAATTGCCGACTCAGTGATAAATCTCTGTGGAGGAAGCATTAAAAAAGAATTGATTGACTAAAGAAGATTATTGATTGTGGTCAAGAAATGCCAAGGTATTTATAGACTATAGGAGCTTTACAAACCATTAAGCTCTATACATAAACATGCATTTAAAGGTGCATTGTGTAATTTTTCTGGCGGAGGGTCCGTCAGATGCTTTTCTTCATGGGATGGAATTGCTGTGTTTTTACAATATGGCAGTAGTAAAGTTTTATCAGTCGTTCTATAAAACAGACCAAGTTCAGATCTGTGTAGAGGCAAGCCAGCTCAACACCAGAATGCCATTTGTAGTAGGTATTTTTGAGCTATAAAACCACCTGTAACTGGATAAATGTAAGGTAGAGCTGTTTAATGTTATGCTGTGGAACATTATAAGCAGACCAATTACATATCCATAGAAACAAGAAGGTGACAGATCCCCAACCAAAAAGTTACACACTGCACCTTTATACTTTAACAATGTAGATTTACCAAACAGTAGGGGGTGTTGAAATTGCTTCTGTGCACTGTAATAATATTGACTTATTTGATTGCATATAGCTGCAACATAAACACGCCAACCTCTGTGTACGGATGTCAAGCTCTGGTCCGTAACTATAAATAAAATATAATATCCTGAAGGGGAAGCAGCTCTCCGATCAGCACTAGTGGGTACAGTTTGTGCAGTTCAACACTAATTTGGAGAAGGCTTCACTGTGTGTTTCTATGGAGACCAGGTACAGGACTGAAGCACAGAATGGAGACTATTTAAACCAAAGGAAATCAGGTTTTTGTGTTTGGAATACGACTGGCAGCACAGTTTTACACACATGGTTTGAACTACTGCAATAGTTAGAATAAAAATTTCTTCCATTGAGCTGACGATGGCTTAGGTGGGATTGGTTGGCTTATATACTTGTCAGGTTGGCAGTACAATCCTAGTTTAGAGGAACCATATTACGCTATTTTCCACACAAACCCTGCATATTGAGTAATGTGGTAATACAGGAAGTGCTTCACTGTGTTTTTGAGCTCTGTACACTTTCACTAGAATCATTTGGATAAGTTCAGACCTGGACTGAACTAAATGTAAAAGGTAGCTGTTGACTTGAAAAGTATCACGTCATGACATTACAAGCAGGAACAGATCATTTTGAGCTTTGGGAATATAGACAGACTAATAATAAAGAGTAACAAACATGTGTGAATGATGAGAAAACTACATTCTAACATGATTTAAAGCCCACAAGAGTTAATTTTGTGCATTTTTGTGTATAATATAATAGTAGGCTATATGTCACGGTGTCCTTGGGCAAGACACTTCATCTGTGATTGTCGGAAGGGTGTTTGGCACTTTAGAATAACTTAACTTACTTGTCGAGTGTGGAGAGTGAGAGAAGCAAAATCAGACACATCCTTATCTCTAATGGAGTAATCAGTTTGGTAAAGGGTCACATTTTTATACAACACTTTTCTACCTTCAAGGCACTCAAAGCACTTTACATCAAGGAACCTATCACCTATTCACACACACATTCATGCATCAGTGTACGCAGCCACTGGGATTTGAACCTCCAACCTTTAGATTAGTGAAGAAACACTCAATCAACTGAACTACAGTCTCTTCTAATTATTCCTCATTGTCCAAAGACTGATTTAGGTAAGTTAACTCTAAATCTGAGACATAATCTAATCTGTTTTTAATGGCCATGAAACCGACTGACCCTTGATAATTCTGTACTCCATCTAAGAATTAAAGTGTACCCACATGGACAATTTGAAAATCTTTTGGTAATAATAAACTTTAAGGCGTAGTATGTAACATTTCAGGTGTGTGTGTGTGTGTGTGGGGGGGGGGTTCTTACTATGAGCAGGTTGCCTCTCCATCGATCTGACCTTTAACTTGGTGTCCTCTACTAGTCTCCATGGAGTTACAGTAGATCTGTTTAATAGCACACTGTGGAACATTCCAAGCAGGGCATTAACATCCCTCCACCAGAAATGTTACACAGTGCACCTTTAACTTCTCTTCTTACTTTACAGACAGCGCTGACACGACGCCTCCTATGTGCTTCCTGCATTATCCTTCCCATGTTATTGGATCCACATGGTCTGACTGGGTTTACCGAGGGGACATTGGCGCCACCGGACCGTGCACTTAAAACCCAAGAGTCCAAACGCCACTAAAAAACACGGAGCCTGCGGTTGCTGCGTGACGCCCGGGGTGTGAAGTTACCCCTCGATGAGTGAATGTAAGTCTGCATGATGGACGGGGGTAATGGGGTGATTAAGGGGGGCAAAGTCACACCTAGCAGAGCCCCCCTCTCCAAATTCAACTGGAATGCCTCTCCTGTAACAACATAAACGATCACAAGACTCCAATCACATAACAGGACTGTGTGTGTCTGCAAGAGGTGCATCGAAATGTCATCTGTCTGTCTATAAGGGGTAAAAATAGCTCAAACAGAAAACAAGAAGGGCCAGCAGGTCAAGACAACACATTTCTATAGTATGAAAAAGTAAAAAGTTTTCAAATTAAAGGTCCTATATTACGCAAAATGTTCTCTTGTGAGTGTTAAGCCATGTTATAATGTTGTCCCCTCCTCAAAAACATCTGAAGTTGTGCTTTGTTTGAATCACACATGTTTAAGTAATTTTTTTATTATTAGTCTGTCTGCATCTCCAAAGCTCAAAATGCTCTGTTCCACCTTGTGATGTCATGAAGCAGTAGTTTGGAATTAGCAATTCCAGGTCTGAAATCGTCCAAATGATTCTAAGTGAAGATGGTTACAGAGTTTAAAAACACAGTGGAGAACTTCCTGTTATCACATCACATGGTGGAACAAAGTGTTGTTTTCTGTCTAAGGGAAGAATTCAGCCTAAATATGCAGGATTAGTGTGTTAAACATGTGTGAATGGAACAAAACACAACCCCAGGTATGTTTGTGATGAGGAAACAACATCATAACAGAAAATAGTAATGGTAATATGGGCACTTTCAGTAGTAGCATGGTGACTTTCAAGATAAAAAATAAATAAATAAAAGAGTATTAGATAAACAATAACTGAAATGGCAGTGCTGCAGAGTAGGGCTAAACAAAATGTCACGATTTAATGGAAATCTCAGCTTCAGTTGGCACAATTATCAAATCACAAAGGCTGTAATTACTGAAACAATGTCTGGTCTTTTTATAGAAATATGTGCTTGGACGTGTAGTTTAGTTTAGAGAATAAAC